CTTTCTCTGTACTGTCAGGTCATCTTTTCTAGCCATATTCGGTGGTATGTTTGTCTGATATTTTCTCTGTCAACACAAAGGAAACGCAATTAAGAAAAATAGTACACAACAAATCACAAAAATGCGAAATGTATGTGCCGACGACGGACAAACAACAAGAGGCAGAAGATCGAAACGGCTGAAGTACAAACTATTTCGCTTTTTTTCAACAATTTAGCTTTCCTTTTCCTATTTATCCCCGTCGATATAATCCTGAAATAACCTGGCCGAACCATTACCAACGTTTTTTCCCTTCGTCGGTTATTTTTACCTGAAAGAAGCCGACTCCTTATACAAAAATGTCTTTCTATACCGATTTCCTTCCCCACCCCATCAAAATCCAACATATATAAACATAAAACAGCAATATTTCACTGGCACTCTCAACACGACACGCAAGAATGGCACAATTACACAGAAAACAAACACTTTGAGTGAGTAGAAATACTTTGATTGAATATAAAAAAATATTTTTTGCATTGTATAAATTCACATTTTTCCATATCCTACATGTATTTGTTAAATTTAAACAATGTTTGTAAATCCCAGGCCCTGAAGATGATCTCAATAAAGATCGAAACGTGGGCCCGATAAAGAAAATGTTTTTCTGAAGCCTACATCACACCAGATCGTATCTCACGATTTCTGAATAATAATCTATTTCGCTAAGTTCATTCTCCTAGCAAAACCTCTAGGTGTGCTATCAATTTAGAAAGCTGTGATCCATGAAATTCTTGGCACAAAGAGAACTCAAAAAGAGACTGGAAGGTGCATTCTCAGACCAATCAACACTGATGCTAGGCTCTTTACATTCAAATCAAAGCTGGGAATGTCTAGCACATCTCAGATTTCTGGGAAAACGCAACTAGTTTACAACGATGGCAACGAACAAGCTGGCAAAGTAGAAAAAAATCTGGGTCCCCTTTGGGCCAGAACTGTTAACCCGCACACCCAAAAGTGTGCAAAAAGCGGAATTTCTTAACAAATGAAAAGTTGTAGATATTACAAAATGGGGGTACTAGGGGCATATTAGGTCCTATACTTTGCTTGCTATATACCAATGATTTTCCAAAAATCGACGGCGTAATTTAGTAATATAGTATTAGTAATTTAGTAGTATTAATTAAGTAATTTAGTTATTTAGTAGTAGTAATTAGTAATTTAATTTTTAGTTTGTACTACGTAATTATTTAATCCTTACAGAAACTTTCATAATGTACAACAATAATCTAAACAAAAATAACTCCAAGATACACACCCCACCCTCTCGACCTTTTAGAAACTTGAATTAATAAAAATCACAAAAACACAACATTCCGACATGTCGAAATGCCGAAACGCGTCCTACAGCCCTACCTCTTATCCCAGCATGTCCTTCGCATTGGCAGTAGTATTAAAAAGCAATTTAATTTCAATCATCGTATCATCATGCTCCAGTACTTCTTTCATAAATAGTGCTATTTTACCTCCAATTTCTCTTTAGAAATTATTTGTGTTGATATTTTGAATATTTTCTTCGATTGAAACAAGAAAATTCTTTTCTTTCAACCTACCAATGTATGCGTAGAACTGAAAAAACTGCATTTTTTGCACTTACCCTTTCCTCAGCACCAGTATTCATTATTAAGTGGTGCTCGTAAGGCAAGAAAAGATTTTACAGCCTCTTCACATGGCTCTTTAGTTATTCGTTCGCCTTATTGTCTTTTCAACAAACGGTTTATGTTTTCACCTTTTTCCGTTTCGAAGAGCGTTACTTTACTGTTTGCCTTGAAGCGGATTCTCATTTTTCCCCAGACTCGTCAACCAGTTTAAATAGATACTAATGTAGGATCAAGATGGCCTGCGTCACAGCTCTCGATCATTTCTTCGTGACGCAAAAAGTTCTTTAATAAGTAGACCTCGAGATCCGCGAATCGTCACTTTACGTGTGTTGTGTCTTCGCCGACGGCACAATTCAACTCTTCACAAGTTCTTTCTTGCAAATTAGATCTGGAAAAGGGCCATCACCCTCAGCTCACCTTGGAATCGACTGGGACGCAAAAAATTGTAAATCTGTTTGTATCCAAGCGAGTCGTTACAATACGTTACAACGATGATTAATACGTTATTTATGAACACCACGTCCAAACCACTTTGAAGATAAATTCAATTTACAAAAACCGGTACAAGAAGGAGGTGAAATACCTATAAATATCATGTTTGGCGACCGTCGATATAAGTCAACATTATCCAACAAAATTAAAAGAAGTAGTTGAACTATTTTTCGTACACCTAACGGCACATAGAAATTCTGTCTGTCTGACCTGTTCATACTGGTCCCACTATTCCCGTTTAAAGTTTTTCAGAAGCTCACGGTTTCATTGGTTAAGTTTGTGGTTCAACTATACATAGATGATTTGCTTTGCGACCTATGCAATGCCGATAAGTCAGAGACTCGAAAAAAATCCCCGGCAGACGGCAACCCCGACGCCACCGCCTCCGACCGGGAGGCACCCAAAGGCTCTACCTAGGGATAAAAGAGGTGGCCTTCTGGACCTCAACCTTAGTAGATCTATTGTGGTCCTTTATTTTCATAACTAACTGGCCAGCTTCGGGTTGTTAATCAACAACATCCATAGACTTGCCAGCGGCTCCTTAGTGTAGAATATTGCTTGCGGCTTTTCCGCACTGTTCAGCTACATACATCCTCACAAAAACATAAAACGGGTTCTGCGGTGTTCTTTCTTCCTGGAAGTGTTCCTTCTGTCTGTATTCCTATCCGGTACATGTGCCTTCTTATGTGGTAGCGCCCTGTCAGGAACAACAAGAATCCTCGTTCTGTTGCAGTTGCCCTTCAGTAATTCCTTTGTAAGTCTTGTTGGTGGCCTTCTATGAATCTCTCCGCGCGCGTCATGCCTGGGGTATTGTTCCACCATGTTTTAGACTCATTAAGGATCCATTTTTGGATGTGCCCTTTTTTGTGACAAGATGCAAGGCCGCCATAGGGTTCGGGGCATAGAGAAATCATATGCCTAGGTACCCATGGCAGGGTCAGGCCATTGGTGTCACTGACTTCTACCAGGGCCAAAAGTGGCAAAGGCCGATAACTCGCAATTTGTTATTGTCATTTATGAGAGAAAACAGATAATTTTTTGAGGGTGTAGATTAAAACCATTTAGAAGCTGGAAAAGACCGAACTTTATAGGAATCTTGGGATAAACTCGTCCAGGGAGCCTTTGTACGTCCCCCAGCCGGCCAACGCCACAAGTCCCATTGACGCAGGAAACTTCAGAAGAGTATAAAATAGTAATTGGAAGAGATTATTTTGACATCTTGGGTGCCGGGGCACAAAGGAAGTTTGGGTAATGATCAAGTAGATAATCTGGTCAGAAAAGGATCTGCAGGACCAAGGCCAGAACCTATTGGGATTACAAGATCAATAACTCCAGAAGTGCCAGAGATAGTAAAACCATGATAGCAGAACCCTCAACTAAACGATTGTGCAACACGGTGCTCCAGTTAAAAAGGGCTAAACTCTGGAGAGTGATTGATTCTAGTCATTCGCATCTGAAAAAACACCTACACAACATGGCTAAATTCATTGGTGACCCCATTTGTAGGTTGTGCAATGAGGCAGAAGTCATATCACCTTCGAATGCAAGGTAAGCAAACAATAGAGACCTGGGTGATGACCGCGGGTGCCAAGAAGACCCTTGAAAAAGAATTGCAGCAACAACAGACAATAATGATGACCTTATCCTTTTGAAGAATTTCAACACAAATTTAATAGAAAAATTGAAGTTAATATGTTAGAAAACAGCCGAATTATGCTAATGAGAACAAAATTTAAAATAGATCAGGGAGTCAGTAACGGGATGTATTTAAACATATGTGACATACATATACTATAATCCAATAGTGGATATTGGCAAGTGACCTAAGTAACTTTGAAATAGCATGATTAGCAAGAGTCAAATAATAAATGGGGTTCAATATTCCGGTAGATAATTTACTGCCTTTTCAGGTGGAGTGTAGACTCTTTTAGACGTAAAACACAGGCATGATTTATAGCACAGAATAAATCCATGCTTCATATTGCTTTTATGAATATATCGCCATAAGATCAGGATTAAAAACCTAGCTAAGGCTAATACTGCTCATTAAAACAATCGCCTAAATGCTAGTTTAACATAATTACAAAATTATATATACCATATTTCCAACTTCCAGGTTCATTTCAGATAAAATGATAAATTTTATTCGCTGTTTTAAATGCGCTGTAATTATTTATGTACAAGTTGTTTTAAATATTTCACCTCATTTTTTCTGCTGGTAAAAGCTGAAGGCCGTTCGTTTCTAATTGTCGATACTTAGTTATTTGTGCAACTAAGGTCCTCGGGTTAACCGAGTTCACAACCTTTTACCCGAGGAGAAGCCACAATAAGGTTAATGGACCGCAGTTTGCGCCTTACAGAAAATGGCCCAAACCTCTCACTTGGGCCTTAACCAAATAATGAGGTCCGGTCGTACTCCCCACTCGAAACTGGTTTCTGCAGGGGATCTCCAACATATCCCCCTCAAGAAAAACGGTAATTCAAATCGTATATTTTAGGAATTCAAGATGTATTTATTTATTACGGACCTGAAGTGAAGTAAACATAAGTCTATTAACTATTGACTCTTGCAAATTTTACCTTATAAAGGTCGTCTGATACTAAGTCGAAAAATTGGTAAAATTGGCGTTCTTGCCAATGAAACCGAGGAGCAGAGAAAAAAAATTCAATATGGTTTTCTGCCTTTGTTATGCATGTATTTCAAGGATCATCTCAAGGACTGGGTTTTTACGTGGAATAAGAAATTAATAAGCTGGATCGTATTAAATAAAGATTGGATATATAAAAAGTTACGAAAACCAAAAGACGGCTATTAATAAAGTAGATAAAACCATTTGAAAAAAAAATTCAAAATCTTTTTAAGCACTTTATCCTACCTCGTGTCCACTGATTCTCTAAGTGCGTTGTGAGCTCTAAAGCAGATTCTCGGTGGATCTTCTCGTCGTGCTTTTATTCGAAAGGTACACTTAGTTGGATCGCCTTGGAAAATCAGTAGAGCTTGTCTGGGTACTTAGGAACGTCGGGCTGGAAGGCAACGAAACTGACGTCCGGACGGCGAAAGCTGATGCTATATCAAAAGTAAATAGTAAAGGTATACAAGTATATAGTAAAGAAAAGGTGGCAGCGTCAGTGGATTGGGTCGTCCTAGAAGCTATTTCGCGTCAAGAGCACGATTGGTAGGTGATCCCGGAGAATTCACACCACAAAAGAAAGATCATTCTAACCCGAATTAAGATTGGTCATGCGCGGCTGAAACACGGACACTTACTTTTGGTCCAAAACCGCGTATGTATGCTGCATGTAAAGAACGGTTCCTCGATGTGTCCCACATTGAAGGGTGCCATTCCTTGGCTCCATATAGAGAGCAAGTAGGAATAACGACCAATATAAGAATTTTGCTCGAGCATGGAAATATTTGGTCCCTGGTTCTACTTTAAGGAGGAAATAGGGTTGTTTTATTATATATAGTACTGATAGTTTTGTGTACCTAACGTGTGTATTTATTAGCGTGAATGTGTAGTGTTAGAGGGGGATATAATATTGAGTACCCCACCTCAATTAGATTTGTTATATAATATATGAAAGGTGATGTAGGAATATCAAGTACTCCACCACCCTAATTGAGTGAATGGTACGTGAATAAAAAAGAATGTTCGATTAATTATACACAATTTTTTCGAAATGAAAAATTTGTGTAACAGGCGGAATTCGAACCCACGATTTTGTGCTTGACCACTTGAGCTACCGTGACTTCAATCGCCCATGCCACAAAATTTTCATTTCGACTCCCCGTTTTTATTCCAATTGTATGCGAATCGCGGCTTCATATAGAAACACTTTTTATTAACGATTGTACTACATTAGCGGGACTGTGTACGGTTCATAGGTGTGAATCTAGATTAATACTAACTTTTTAATTATTTTATCCACTTATGATTAATTATATAACTACTTAATTAATTATATACAATTTTTTCGAAATGAATTGGGAAATGAACGTATGAAATGGGAATCGAAGTCACGGTAGTTAAAGTGGTAGAGCAGCGGCGAATTTAGCCGAAAGTCGTGGGTTCGAATCCCGCCTGTCACATAAATTTTTCATTTCGAAAATATTGTGAATAATTAATTGAGTATTTATATAATTAAGCATAAGTGGATAAAATAATTATAAAGTTAGTGTTAAAAAATAATGTATTTGAGTGTGAGTGTGTAGGGTTTGAATTTAGGAACTGCACAGGTTTGATGGTGAATTGACTAGCTGTTGACAACACCCGCAGCCCAACCTCGGTGGCTGGACGGATAAGAGCGAGGTCTGACCCCGGACTGCCAGTACTGGAGGTGCTTGATTCTCGACGACTACCGTAAAGTGAAAATAGACATTTTTGGACTGGATCCGCCGGGGAAGGCAAGATTTTTTCCGCCGATGTCCAGTGTTCCACCTAAAACTTCATAATTCCTCTGGATTTGATCTAAATTCAACACTTGAAATTCTGAATGTATTTTGTTCGAGCCGATGTAAACAAGGCTTATATTTTATGTCATTGTAAGTGAGATAAACAATAACGAAATCCACAAATATCTCAAACGTTTTATTTTATATCTCCGGTTTTTATTTATTAACGGGGGTCCGGTTTGTGCCATTACGTGTAGTTTATAGGGTCATAAACTTCAGTAAAGTTTCCTGTTGATCGGTGGAGCAGTTGTAAAGTTGTCACTAATTTTGTCATCTTTGAAGAACAAAAAATCTGATGCATTAGGAAGGAGAGAAATTTAAGCAAAAATTTATATTATTAATTTTTCTAAAAATTCATATTCAGGGGTTTTTTCGGGGTGAGACAAACGATCAACTTTGCTTCTAGATACCAAAAATATTGCTAACCTACTTATAGCTCGGCCACTACCTCAAAATTATAATTCGTAACTAAATGTTCAGTTGTTTGTGGACCACGGTTCAGAGCAGACGTGTTTAAACCTCTCTCCGCCTTGAACGTAAACAACCGTACAAAGTTCAGAACAATCTCTATTTAGTATCAACTTTATAATTTTACTCATTTATTCTTTTAAAAGAATTATTTGATTGCCGAAAAGTTTTTACTTGCGGTTAATCATCATGGAAGAAGATAGTGTAGGGGAAAAAATAAGCCTCCGGATAAGAAATTAAATAATAAAAAGACTAAATTTATGGACGACAGCGAGATTAGCGCGAACATTACCAACCCGACAAAAATCGAAACAAAGATGGAATTTAGGGTGCAAGATCCCGGTCCGTTTCAGATAATATTGGAGAGCAAGAACTGCGATAAAAATGGTATCTCTCGGTTACATCCCATGACTATAGGGAGGATAATTCACTTGGAGTGTAAAGAAGTAACTAATAATGTTAACGCGTAGAGTTTAATAATGCCCTATCGGCTAATATGTTTTTGCACTCTCAGTGTTAAAATAAAAACAATTTGAAGCATATGTTCCCAATCACCTCTTAGTTCGCAAAGGAATTATCAGAGGCGTACATACGGATATTTCTGAGCAAGAAATTAGAGAGGTTGTTCAAGACTGTCACAGGCAGCAAATTCATCTGTTAGATGTAAAACGACTTGATCGAAAAGTACGAGATGATTCTGGGGAAATAAAACTTATAAAGACACAATCGGTTTTAATCACGGTTCGAGGACAATGTCTTCCAAACTCAGTACGAGTACATTACGTGCAATGCGATGTAGATCCTTACATACAAAGAACAATTCAATGTAAAAACTGTATGAAATATGGTCATTTTGCAGATCAATGCAAAGGCAGCAAAAGATGCGAAAATTGTGGAGAATCGCATGATGCAAGCATGTGTACCAATACAATTTTAAAATGTGACCATTGTCAAATGCCTCATAAATCAACAGATTATAAGAATTGTCCACAATACGAGAAAGAAATGAGAATANTTTTTTTTTTTTTTTTTTTCCAGTAACACCCTTTCCGGCGTCCTAGACCAACAGCAATTTATTGTTTTTCGTTTTAGATATTTTAGGAGGTCAATGCTATGTTATCCATGCGGCAATAGACAAAGGTTGTCTGTCCCTAGGTACCGCTGGTGTATTGTGCGCTGGGTTTTGGTTTGGCCAACCTCCATTAAGATGTTCTGATAGCATCTACCGACCAGAAGTTTGTCGGTGTAGAAATTACAGGCCTTGGTGTTCATATTAATTTGTACAGACTCCATCAAATTCAGTTTGGTGTGGCCTTTAACATGGCAAACTATTTTTCCATCTTCGAAATTGAATCGGTGATCATTGTCCACTGCAGGCCTACTAAGGGCTGTAGGTTCCCCATCTAGATTTCTAAAATCCCTTTTGTGTTGAGCCCATCGGTTTTTTAACTTTTGTTTAGTCTTACCCATGTACTCAACCCCACACTCACATGGGATGCTGTAAGATCACCAACATCATAGCAAACCACATCAACCACTGCAAGTCCAATAATAAAAGACCCTACGTCCTATCCCGTAACTTCAAAAATGCACTAAAAAACAATTTAATACAGCGAGCCCTAAAGCTATCATGCCCAGATTTTCACCAAAAAAACATCAATCTAGTCAGAAACATCCTATTAGCACAATACCCCAGGAACATTGTGCAACACCTAATAAAAAGAGCAAGTAATGATGCTATGACCCCCACACTTGAACTAGCCATCCCTGCCGACCAGTTGCCTCAGCCTCAGCAGCCACTGGATCCGGAAAAAAAAATTCTCATTCCCATACACTCCTGGTCTCACCCAAAAAATAAAGAAAGCATTTAAAGAAACCAGCCCGGACAACTCACCCAAATGGAGATTAGGGTTGTAGCCAACTCGCTACTTGGGAGACTTGTTTTTCACAAAAACAAACGACAAAATCCCAATGTTGGAACAGTCCAATATAATATACAGCGTCCCATGTGAGTGTGGGGTTGAGTACGTGGGTAAGACTGAACAAAAGTTAAAAAACCGATGGGCTCAACACAAAAGGGATTTGAGGAATCTAAATGGGGAAGCTGCAGCCCTTAGTAGGCCTGCAGTGGACAATGATCACCGATTCAATTTCGATTATGGAAAAATAGTTTGCCATGTTTAAAGGCCACACCAAAATGAATTTGATGGAGTCTGTACAAATTAATATGAACACCAAGGCCTGTAATTTCTACACCGACAAACTTCTGGTCGGTAGATGCTATCAGAACATCTTAATGGAGGTTGGCCAAACCAAAACCCAGCGCACAATACACCAGCGATACCTAGGGACAGACAACCTTTGTCTATTGCCGCATGGATAACATAGCATTGACTTCCTAAAATATCTAAAACGAAAAACAATAAATTGCTGTTGGTCTAGGACGCCGGAAAGGGTGTTACTGACAAAAAAAAAAACAATGGTAAATTACTGGTACATTCAACTCTTGTTCAAATGCAGTTTCATACAATAATTTTAAATAATCAATGTTATTTTTGAGATTTTATGCTATTTATTTTTTTAACTTCAATTTTTAAGGCTTTTAGATTTTTTAAAATAAATTTTATTCACTGTTATTGTAGATTATATACCTGATGAAGGACGTGAGACGTCCGAAATGTTGTCAATAAATGTTTTGAACGAAGCATTTGGACTTTTCTTCTGGGGCCGCTCACCTCAACATAGTTTAAAATTAGCAATTGATTATCCAACGGCCGACTAATACAGGGACATACCACAAAATGTTCCTGGTGGGTTAATGAAGTTTAACCCGCACAGGAGCAGCGAAACCAACGAAAAGGATATAATTAATAAGGTGCGGGTTATGAAACGGCATTCACTATTATTAAGAAGATTCAAGAGGAAATTAGTGTAAAACACAAGGAAAAATTTGAAATTTTTGACGATGTAATTTAAAAAAAATTATTAGCGACCGGATTAATAATCTTTCATAGGTAGAAAATGGGAGGTTTAAATATATTCCAGTGGAACGCACGGTCCTTAGTTTCCAACAAAGATGAATTTAAGGCTTACATAACAGTGAATAACATTCATATTGCGGGAATTTCGGAGACCTGGTTTAACCC